GCCCCTATAAATGGTCTTATTTTTATGGTTTAGTTTTAATCCAAATGATGCGTGTGCTAAGTGAGTGAACATCAAAGATCACACAACAGAAGTGCGCGCGCGCTTTCTCTCGCTCTCTCTCTCTCCCTACCATTAAGTAACATGTGCATTGTTTTACTTACTTGTTTTTGATGTATCTGACCAAACTACAAACTTTCCAGTGGTATCGGGGCATTTTAATGAGTACGAGTACAGGAGACCAGTAGCGGGCCTGTTACAACCTGCGTTTCTTGTATTTGTCGTGTAATTTGTGTGTTAAGATCGTAGAGCAAAAGGGGTGTCCTGCCATTTTGTTTTACTTATTTTGTTTGGGTTCTGTTTTGTGCTAGGTAGTTAGGGAAGTAATCTGTATTTTTATTTCCTTATTCGATTAGGTTATTTATTATCTTTTTCCCTCCCTAGATTTGTTTTGTTTGTTATTTTGGCCTTTGGGACATCCTGGATAGATGCTCTTTATTTCACTTACTTGTTTTAAATTAAACCTAATCCTTTAAACTGACTAACATCGTGGAAATGTTTGATTATCGACCGGAGTGATTCGTACTTGGGATTCCATTACCACAACCCAGATTTATTATGCCCTGTTAAGAGCGATATTCTTACTACCCCTAGATGTGGGGCGTAATAGGGCCCGATACGTGACGTGATATGTGGCCAAGTATGGTTACCCATCTGCATTTAACCCATCCAAGTGCCCACACACAGCAGTGAAAACACACCGTGCCATTTATGCTGCAGCGCCCAGGGAGCAGTTGGGGGTTCAGTGCCTTGCTCAAGGGCACCTCAGTCGTGGTATTGAATGTGGAAGAGAGCGCTGTACATCCCCCCACCTACAATCCCTGCCGGTATGAGACTCGAACCCGCAACCTTTGGGTTACAAGTCCGACTCTCTAACCATTAGGCCACGACTTCCCACATACCAAAACCATTCACAAAACCAAACCAAAACCTTCCCACTTCCCACATACCAATATCGGTGCATCACTACTCATAACTTTGAACTAATTATTTTCTCTCCTCATCTTGTGCTGATTAAACATGGTGTTTTCACTTTCTGCTAACTCACTTTATACAAACAGTTAACAGTTTTTCTCTCTTCTTAGAGTAAATAAGTCATCCTTGAACTTTTTTAATAGCTCTCAGTGAATGTTAGTGGAGTTTGGCCTGTAATTGCTGCATGCAGCTGTATTTTGTATTTATCATTCGCCGCCTCTTCTCCATCTCTCTCTCTCTCTCTCGCTCTCTTTCTCAAGGTGGTATCTAAACATTCTCATGTGGTTTTGGCAAATAAAGCAAATTTTATTTCCAGGCGCTCTCAGGCCTCTGGGGCCATGCAGCCGCTGCTGATTAAACGTTTGTTGTTCATACGCTTATCAAAAGCAGAATCCAGGCTGATTAATGACTGGGACACAATGTGCTGCCGCGCGCCGGAGCACTTAATGAGCCTGTGAACTGTGATCAGCATGCTTTACCAATCAGCAGTTTGTTCTTAGTGAACTTTAAACACAGGATGAGGCATTGTTTTACAAAGAAAGACGCAATGTGTGGGCTGGAGGAAGATAAATGACAACCGGCAGCTCTAATCACTCTCGATTTTAGGGATTTTGGTTTGGTTTTGTCAATGGTGAATCATGTCTCTTGCTCTTGATTCAGACACAGTTTGAGCTCTCTAGCATCATTTGTCAGTCTCTAAACTGTCTGGTATCTGTCTGTAGGTGAGCCGTCTGCTGATGCTGGGTGGAGCGAATGTCAACTATCGTACGGAGGTGTTGAACAACGCTCCGGTCCTCTGCGTCCAGGCTCACCTGGGCCATCAGGAAACGGTCAGCCTGCTGCTGGAGTTCGGAGCAAACGTGGATGTGGTTTCAGAGAACGGCATGAGCTCCTTGTGTTACTCAGCGGCCGCTGGGCATCTGGGGCTGGTCGGTCTTCTCTGTAAGAGAGAAGCCAAGGTCAGTGCAGATATATAGATATTATTTTGGACTTTCAGATACCTTTTTTTCAGGATTCTTTGATGAGTAAAAAGTTAAAAAGAACAGCATTTATTTAAAATAAAAATATTTTGTATATATACACTATACACTTCAAAAGTTAGGTGTCAGTACGTGTTTTCTCTTTCTTTTTTTGAAAGAAATTAATACTTTTATTTGCCAAGAATATGTTACATTGATTAAAAAACAAACAGATTTCTATTTTGAATAAATGCTGTTTATTAATCAAAGAATTCTGAAAAAATATCACAAGTTCCCAAATAAATAAATAAAATATTAAGCAGCGGATCTGTTTCCAACATTGATAAGTATTATTAGAATGATTTCTGAAGGATCATGTGACACTGAAGACTGGAGTAATGATGCTGACAATTCAGTTTTGATCACAGGAATAAATTACATTTTAATATATATTCAAATAGAAAACAGTTATTTTAAATTGTAAAAACAAACAGATTTCTATTTTGAATAAATGCTGTTTATTAATCAAAGAATTCTGAAAAAATATCACAAGTTCCCAAATAAATAAATAAAATATTAAGCAGCGGATCTGTTTCCAACATTGATAAGTATTATTAGAATGATTTCTGAAGGATCATGTGACACTGAAGACTGGAGTAATGATGCTGACAATTCAGTTTTGATCACAGGAATAAATTACATTTGAATATATATTCAAATAGAAAACAGTTATTTTAAATTGTAAACATTTTTCACAAATGTTACTGTTTTACTGTATTTTTGATCAAATAAATGCAGCCTTGTTGAGCAGAAGAGAACTTTAAAATTCTAGTGGTGCATACATTTGTATTTATAATATATATTTATACTTAAATTAATTTATAAATATAATTACAAATATATTTAATTTATGAGCATTTTGTATGATTCGTATTTACAATTAAACTATAATTTAAAATGTCAACATGAAGTGTCATTAAAAATTCATTTTACTTTTTGAGTTTTAACAGAAAAATGGTTGGACAAGACTTTGTGTGATCTATTCAATTGATTGAATCTGCAAATGTGGCATTGGAAATAATATGCACCAGTGAAACATTGACAATAACGTGTATAAAGCGGTGTTATTTTTGTATAATTTTATTACTATTATGGTTTTTGTTCATATTTTGAATTAGATTTTACTTTTACATTTCCTGTTTTCACTTTATTTGGCGATTAACATTCTAGTAATTTCATTCTGTTTAGTCATTTATATAATTTATTTTAAGTATGTCTGTATAGTTTTTATTCATTATTATTTATTAGTTTTAGTTCATTTTAGTACGTCAAGTTAAACTAAATGAAAATGAGTAAAATGAAAAGTAATGTAAATATGTTTTCGTTTTAGTTAACTATAATAACCCTGGTATTAAGAAAGTAAACAGAGTCCGTTTTGATCAGTAACTCTAACCTAAGACTAATATTTGAGACGTATTTCCTATCAAAACTAGACTTGCGTGCATATTGATTCATTTACCCAGTGTTGATGTTGTGGTTTGTGGTCAGGTGGATCACGTGGACAAGAGCGGCCAGTGTGCGCTGGTGCATGCGGCCCTGCGGGGTCATTCAGAGGTCATCGAGTGTCTGCTGGAGCTGAGCTGGAGCACTGAGGGTCAACAGGACCTGAGCCTGAAGAACAAAGCCCTGCAGCAGGGGCTCATCGCGGCCTGCAGTATGGGACACATTCATGTGAGCTCACACACACACTTTTCTATCATGGTGCAATATTTACAGGGGCGTTTTTAACTTTTATGAGGGCAAATTGTTTTTCTAACCACCTAAAAACGTGTTAGTGCGTCACAAATTTGTGTCAAATGCTTCTGGTACTTATAAAATCAAATCAGCATCACATACAAAAGCAGCTGTAAATAATGCACAATAAATTGTCTGTTAGAATACAGTTTAGTATGAATATACAGGTCTATACTGACAACCATAGCAGCAGATTTGATTTATACAGGGTTTTCAGAGCTGATTTTAGTTTTTGATTTTTTTCCACTTTAACTTTCTGACAGTAGCATGTGTGAAAACAACCACACTATTATTAAAATTGATATATTACAAAATATGTCAAATGTTGTTTTTTTAAACCCACAGAATTTATCACGGTATCTGATACATTTCCATCACCATCGGTGTCATTTGTGGTTAAGTCTCGGTTATTTTCTGATCCTAGTGCATCCACATACACAGGCTCACATATTTGCACGCATAAAAGGAGTTTATGTGCATGTATGTGCAGTGAACTCAAGACTCAGGTCTTGAAGTATAATAAATCTTCTAGATGTTGTAAGGATGCGGTTGCCATGGGAGAACAGCCATAGCAACACGCTGGTCTCTAAGGTCAAGCTGTTTGAGCCTTTGAAGAAACGGAGGGAAAAAGCTCTCGTGTTTTGCTTTGTGTTGATTTTGTTCCAGCACCAGCGCTTCAGTCTGAACTTATTCATTCAACTTCCTGTTGATCGACCCAGATAGTCGAGAGTTACTGTTAATCTTGCCAGTAGTGGGTCAAATGAGAAAATGAACCAGCCATGAAACTGTTAGTTTTATTAAATATATTTCTTTGACACCATTTCCTTTTTTTCCCTTGCATTTTTCCTTGTATTTGGACCCAGCGTAAATGATTTTAATTTAAATCACTTTAGCAACGGTAGTGTTATTTTAGAAACATTGATATACTGTTATAGTTTTTGTTTTTAAGATCTGTTTTCTATCATTTTAGTTTAATGTTAATTTTGTTTTTTCTGTCACTTTTATTAGTGTTTTTATCATTTTAAAAGTTTTCATTTATTTTTAAATGTATGTATTTATTTATTTATTAAAAATGTGAAATGTTGCCTTGGCGAACAGATGAAATAAAATATATATCACATATTATAAAACATACATTTTTTAATATTAATTTCATTTAGCAATTTTATTTCAAGTAGCACAAATGTTTTTTATGGTTTAGTTTTAGTTAAATATAATAACTCTGAGCGACCGTCATTCTTAAAATCAATTTTATAACATCATGTAACATGTTGTAGTTCCTCATTAAATTCCCAGCCACTGGAGAGTAACTTCAGCAAAGCCAGGTTTTATCCACACATGCCGTTAATGACCCTGCTTTCAGCCTGTATCGGATTCTTCATTGCTCTTCTGTTCTAATATTGTTTGATTGATGTGAGCTGGTGTTTTGGCAGGTGCTGGAAGGCTTGTTGACGTTGAATAATGAACTGGAGGTGCAGATTGATGTCCACGACACCCTGTGGGGCGAAACCGGTATGTTCAGTTCTTCTTTATGTTTTTATCTCTCGTCTCTCTCACCGTGCCATTATTTCAGTTCCATTAGGAGTCAGAATTGCAGTTGGTGGGAAGCTTACAGTGAATTGTGGGTGTCTGTAGATGTTTTGTCAGAAAATACATCATCAGAAACACGCTATGGGATAAGGCTGCACGGTCTTAGTATTTTCGTCCTGTTTAAAGGTGGCTCAAAATCTGCAAATATCTTGTTAAATGTAACAAATCATGTTAAAATGTCTTCTTTTTTTATTTATTTGAAAATGAAAAATTTTATCAGACTTTGATAATTGCCTTACACTTTGGTGTTTTTATTGCCTTTTTTCCCCGTCACATATTTTAGTAATCATTGAAGATTAAAAGCTTAAAAACCTCAAAATTCTTCCTATTAAAACTATTTTAAAATCAGACATTGCATGACCATGAAAATAGTACTTTAAATATTTTAGTGGGTGGTGTTAAATATCAAATTACAAATTTTACTTAAAAAAAAAAAAAAATTATTTTAAGTTGGGCAATCATCTCATTTAATTACACAGCTCCGCATTCGGTGTGACCTTCACTGGCGTTATGTGCCACTGTAAAGGAAGAGAAACTGCTGTATTGTATGCATCTGTAGATGGAGGGAGAAATGAAGTGAATTATCCAGAAGAGATTGACTCTTCAAAACTAACTTTGTGCATCTCAGCAGTTTAAAGACCGGCAAAAGATAAATACAAGACCTTGAGCTAATAAGTGCATCGTCACTTTAATGGCCTTTTATGATGAATGTTTTATTATTTAATTGGTACTTATAGAACATTTATGGTACAACTTGCATTGCATCGTATGTGCGTGGTCATGTGTTTAAATGCATTCATCTGTCTGAAGTTCTAGAAGTTTGTAGTTTTAGGTTCAGTAAGAGCTCTGTTTTCTCTGAGGAGTTTTGAGATAGAAAGCTACAGTATGATTTATCGTACAGAGATGTCAAGCATATTTTGGTTCCTCATCACGAGGCCACACAGAAATACATGTATATCTCAGCATCATTTATGTGTGTTTGTGGTGTGTGTGCATTGAGGAAGTCTACAGAAAGTTGAACCCAAACAGATATTCAACAGATAAGAGTGTTAAAGCAAAACAGGCCTTTCCCCAGGCAGCTGTTCACCTCCGAAAACCTGAAACAAGATACTTTCTCACTAAACATGGGTTCTCCTTCGGCTTTCGAGAAATTATGTTAATTATTTAAATTTCCAGGCATGTCATGGGAAAAAAAATAAATAAAAGAAATTGCTGTTAATATTTAAAATTGATTGAAATTTATTTTTCTTTTATTGAATTTTTACATTTATATATATATTTTTTATCATTTTTTTATTTTTTTATTGAAGGAGTAAAGCAACATACATTAAAACAATGAAAGTTACATTTTCCTTCCTTCTACTTTTACTACAGGTTCCACAGATTTGAGTGTGTGTGTGTGTGTGTGTGTGTGTGTGTGTGTGTGTGTGTGTGTGTGTGTGCTTGTGTGTGTAATTTATATAGAATTAGGCAAGCATGTAATCACTGAGACATACCATATTTATCATGAACAATAAAACCCTCCCCGGCCTCCACACCCAACAAAAACACAAAGCACTCTCCCCGGAAACCAAAGAACAATAGGACCGCCTTTCATGTACCAGCATATGTGTGTGAGCCCCTGAGATACGGGATAGTTTCATAGTATAAAGTAACTCCCACGTGAGAGAGGAGGAGATATTGATTGCTCTGAACTGCAGAAATGTTCTTGCTTGCTTTCATCCCTGTCTCTCTTTTTCTCTCTGCCTATTGTTGACCTTGTAATAACACTTTTTCCCCAGGCTGGAAATGAGATGTCCAAATTCAATCTGGGTGCTGACAGGCAGTGTTTGGATATAACAGAGTGGTATGGAGGCAGGCAGGCCAAGACATTGTTGCATCACAATGGCTTTACAGGCTTTTAAATGCACTGTGGGGGAGATGTGATGACACTCTAAACATTGCCATCTGCTGGAGACAACAGTAATATCCATAGGACTTTCATATTAGCAGACCGCTTGAGAGACACTTCTCAAGATGTATATACAACATATTTTCTGGTTTCATTAACTACAGAGTTATTGGTCACAAAGTGGTATGTAATACCAGGAGAAAGCAATCCATCACTGGTAAAACATCCACTATACTATATTAACAGTAATAGTTCAGGTCCTTTGATTTGATTGTAGCTTTTTGTCTTTGTTTGTGCATTCCAGACATCAATCTGTGCATTTAGTGTTGGGGATTTTTCAATGACTCTTCCTGCAGGTTAAAGTGCTGTCACATTTACTGCTGCTCGGCAAAATCCAGTCATTTCAAAGAATGTCACTCCAGCCCGAAAACCTCCAAGTGGGAGGAGCTTATGCTGCAAGTAGGTGGAGAGACGTTCAAGTTACTGGCATTAAGTTTGGGGGTGAACCTTCTATTCAACTCATTTGGAACTATAGTTCCACCAATTTTGGAATTGCACCGCCCACTTGGAGCTGACTCTGGGCTGCTGCGTTACCTATTCTCATCATTTCAATAGGAATCCATGCGATAGGGAGTTTCGTGTGAGGGTGCAAACATTTCTCATGCAGATTTCACTCACGTTCAAGTTGGTCACGCAAATCCACCTCGTTCACCAACAGAATGCTGCTTTGTCTGCGCTTCATAAACTGTTACACTATTGAGAATGGACTATAGTCCTTTCTTGCATGCGAAATCTTGCTATTGTGAACGCACTTTTACATCAGTACAGCAATAGGTGGCGATAAGTGGTCATCTTTATGAGTGAGTCACTTGTGTTAGTGATTCATTAATTCAGGGATTAATCTTTTTTTTATTTTTTTTTATTGAAGGAGTAAAGCAACATACATTAAAACAATGAAAGTTACATTATCCTTCCTTCTACTTTTACTATACTATAACAACCCCATCCCTTCCCTAGACAGCTTAGTTGCAACAAAATAGCGTAGTGTCTGGCAAAATGAAACAATCTTATTACATCTTTTCAAGGCATAGACCCATTGCATACCACTACATAGTGATGATAATAATAGTATTATTATTACAATAATATTATTACAGTATGAATATATGAGAACATTTTTTTAGCCATTCTGTGAGACAAATTACACTGAGGTCAAAACATCAAATACATCATCACAAAAAGAATAAAGAAAAAGATACATATACATATAAAAAGAGTAAAAGTCAACAGCTGGGTAATTCTTTTAGGTTTTTAAAATATGACAAAATGGGTTCCCATTTTGAGTAAAACCTGTCCACAGACCCCCTTAGTGTAAATTTGATCTTTTCTAATTTTAAAAAGAACATCCCATCCTCCAGCCAATCTGTCACAGAAGGAGGGGTAGGGGATTACCAACTCAACAAAATTCTTCTGTATTAAAGGCCAATAAAGAAGTGTAAGCAATAATCTCCCTCTGGGTTGCAGATAAAGTAATGATTACAGTGTCACTGGGAGTTCCAAAAATACCTATTGAAGGACAAGGCCGCAATGTCACCCCAAGGGCATCACTGATAGTTTTAAAAACCAATGCCCAGTAATTATTTAGAGAGGAGCAAGACCAAAATGTATGCGTCAAACTGGCTGGGGAAAAAGAGCATCTATCACAGGCTGCATCTAACCCAGGATATATTCCTGCTAACCATGCCTTGCTCAAGTGAACCCTATGCAGCACTTTGAATTGTATGAGCCCTAACCTAACAGAAGATGATGATGAGTGGACCTTTTTAAGCGCCTCCCTCCAAAAAGCCTCAGACAGCTCTATGCCCAGTTCATCTTCCCATCTGGATTTAATTTTATCCAGATTGTACCCTTCCAAAGACATGAGCTGGGAGTATAAAAGTGAAATCAATCCTTTATTATTAAAATTGAGAGTAAGATTATCTAAGGGCGAGATAAGAGGAAGGATGGGAATTTGTTTTTAACAAAATTGCGAATCTGAAGATATCTAAAAAAGTGGTTTTGTGGGAGGTCATACAATCTGCAGAGGTTCTCAAAACTGTTGAATAAACCTTCAGTATATAAATCTTTGATGCATATCAACCCGGAAACTACCCACTGTCTAAATGATGAGTCCAGTGTAGAGGGAGGGAATAAATGATTTTTGTAAATAGGACCCAAAACCGATGCTGATGTAAATTTATAGTGACAACGAAACTGACTAAATATCTTAAGAGTAGAGAGTACAACAGGATTGGATGTGAATCGAGAAGCTTTCAAAAGTAAGGAAGAATACACTAAAGCAGGGAGAGAAGAGGAGTGACATGTTTGTGCTTCAATTAAACACCAATTTGTTTCTGGGCAATGAAGCCAAAATAATATCTTCTGAATATCTGATGCCCAGTAATAATGGGTAAAACTTGGGAGGCCTAAACCACCAGCATCGCGGGTCCTCTGAAGAATATGTTTGTTAACCCTGGGGATTTTATTTTCCCAAATGAAAGAGGATATAGATTGATTGATTGAACGGAAAAAGGATTTGGGCAAAAAAACTGGTAGGGACTGAAACAAATAAAGGAACTTGGGAAGAATTGTCATTTTCACTGAATGTATTCTTCCGGCTAAAGTAAGGGGAAGACTATGCCATCTTTCCAACTCTGCCTTTACTTCTTTTAACTGAGCTTTATAATTGGCTTCAAACAAAGAAGAAAAGGAGCGAGTCATATGAATTCCAAGATATTTAAACCCATCCAGAGAAAAACGAAAGGGTAATGATTCTTGTTGAATTTGTAAGGCCAAATTATTAATGGGGAAATTTAATTTGTATCCCGAAAAGGTACCAAACCGACCTAATAAGGATATAATTAAAGGACAACCTGATATAGGGTCACTGATGTAAAGCAAAAGGTCATCGGCGTATAAAGACACACGATGTTCAATACCCCCTCGCTTAATTCCCTGGAACGCTGTTGTTGTTTTCAAAGCTATTGAAAGAGGCTCAATCACAATGGCAAAAAGGAGTGGGGACAGTGGGCATCCATATCTTACGAATTATATTGTGATCTTCCAGTCTTAAATGTGTTTCTTGTAAAAACAATATATCTGGTTTGAAAGATTTAAGATGGGAGAAAACTTTAGCTCTTTTAACAGGACCATTTAATCCCCTGACATTCCATGTCATCAGCCTCACAGGATGACCTCCATAATCATCACCTATTTTATCTGAGTGGTACAGAAATTAAAAGCATGCAGGGGTTCCAAACTGAAACAAATTGTAATCATGAATTGTAAATAACAAAAATAAGATACCAGACCTAGAAACCAGAGGTAAATAATGCTGCCAGCCAACCCTCCCACCCCCCAACCAAAACAGGAATTGAACATTATAATTCCTAGATCTAATTCCCCAACAGAGGATGATCGCAGATAAAGCAAAGACAAACGAAAAAACTTCCAAAGTATGTGAACTAACAACAAATAGAGTCGTATACAAAGTGGGTGTAGCCCCCTTTTAAAAGAAGTTCAGAAACAAAAATTGTCAACAATTGTGTATGTTATCCGGCTTTGAAAATAAATAAATAAGTAAATAAAAATAAAACACAGAATGGAGTGTGCAATTATACTCATAAGTCCAGTTCAACCTCGGGTTTTGCACATACGATATAAAACTAACAAAGTTTTCTATTTCTTACCCGAGGGAGAGAAAGTAACGTCTTTACGCATTATTCTTCACCCCAGTGAGTACGGTAGAACTCATTGGCTTCCTCTGGCTTGCCGAAGAAGTGCGTTTTCCCTTCGTGAGTAACACGGAGCCTTGCAGGGTACAAGAGACTGAATCTGACTCCCTTCTCGTATAGCCGAGACTTCACATCTTTAAACGCCGCTCGCTTTTTCCCCAGCTCAGCGATGAAATCGTCGTGGAAAAACACAGCGAAAGAGCAATTCCTGGAATTCCTTGTCCTGGAAAAAGTGAAAAAGAACCAGAAACACTCTGGGTTTGGCCTGCTTGGCCCTTGCATCGTTGGTTGGGTTGGGTCCGACTCGGTGTGCACAAGAAAGAACAAGAGGACTCGTAAAGAAGTCCTTCCCCATTACTTCCTCAAAAAAATCAGTCATAAATTTAATCGGGTCTGATCCTTCCAACTTTTCAGGGATGCCCACCACTCTCATGTTAGATCTCCGTGATCGATTTTCGAGATCATCCAGCTTTTCCTTCAGAAACACGTTCTCTTTCCGTAGCGCGTCCATTTCTTCAGGTAAAGGTGATATTTCGTCGGCCTTGCTCAAAGAAGTTTTTTTCCGAAGTTGCTTTCTATTCACCATTTTTGTTCCACTGTGACTTCACGTAATATCAGCTACCAGATAATCGATTGTATTGAATATATAGAAAAAATAACAACCAAATGACCAAAAGAGGTCTACTCACGCAATGCTTAACCCGGAAGTCCCTTTAAAATTATATTTTATTTTATTTTTATGGATTTTATAATAAGGAATAAATCCATTCCTTTCACTATGCATTTCCAGGCCTAAATAAGTATCTAAATATAAATTTAGCTTTAAAATATTTTATATTTTTATTGTTTTTTGACAGTGCTAGTGTTTGTGAAATTATTTTTTAAAAGTCCAGTAATAATCAATGACTTAAAAATAATAATAAAATACAGTAGGGACCCTGAATTTGAACCCTTGTGCACAAAACAATATGGATTTATTTCTTTGATATCATTCCCCATAATGACAAATACGGGCTAGGCTCAGATCCTTCAGCACCAGAAGAGCAGAGATGTTCATTTCTTCTGAGTGCTCGTGTGTTCTTTAATCTTCAGACCAGGCTCAAACCTCTCTGGTCCTGAACCCGCACGGCCCCGCTAACAAACAGAGCTCAGATGAAGGTCATTTCCATTACCAGTCCTCCAAACACGTCTTTGCCTTGTGTTTCCCCTCTCCAGCGCTCTGGATTCAGCTGATCCATTATAAAAGGCTTTGGGAGTAACTCCTGGGTTTTCTTCTGTTCAGATGTGTATTTCCCTGAGTAAACTTCGTCAGTGTGCTGGGCATTTGTTTTTGTCATTGATCATCAAGCCCATAATTGTGTTTCTTCATTGTTGAAGCTGCAGTCCTGCTGAATGCTTTTTTTAGTAAAAACGTGCATTTTTGATGATGCACTGAAATGTGAGGCTGAATTTTATTCCGCTGATTGCAGAGGGTCCTTCATTCGATTAATTTGACATATGTTCTTTAATTCTCAATTGTTCTTTAATTAATTACTATGTGCTTTCATCAGATAAAGTTGTGATGCTGTTTCTAAGATATTAAATGGATGCTAGGACTTTCAGGTTGTTGCTAAGATAGATGGATGCACAAATGGGCAGATAGACAGACAGACTGATGGATGGATGGATGGATGGATGGATGAGCAGATGGTTGGATGAAAAGACAAAGATGGATGGGATGAATGGAACCAAAGAAGTTGAGTGCACGTGCTCAGCGTCATATCCAGAGGTTGTGTTTGGGAAATAGACGGATGAGTGCTGCCAGCATTGCTGCAGAGGTTGAAGGGGTGGGGGGTCAGCCTGTCAAATTGGTCTGCATGGCTGTCGTCCCAGAGGAAAGCCTCTTCTAAAGATGATGCAAAAGAAAGCCCGCAAACAGTTAGCTGAAGACCGCCGACACACTCGTCCACATACATGAGGAACGAGTGAGGACAAATGTACATAAGCATCCAACTCAGGTCACAAACAGAAAGGAATTAAATAAAATAAAGATAGACAGAAAATAAAGATGTCGGTAGAGTGAGTTATCTCTTCACTTCATCTCGTACAGACACACGCTATGCACATGCGCAGTTGTCAGTCGGCCACAAAACTACCGTAAATGCCCTAGTGGCCGTTACAACATGTTAAATAGACGTTTAGTAATCGTCTTTAAGATGTATATGGTTTATGTAAATCTACTTTGGAGACGTACGTGTGCTTACTGCAGCTCCCCCGTTAGCTGTACTTACATAATAAAACGTGTTTTTACAGCAAAATCACAAATATTATTTTGTGATTTTCACTTAGGGGTGTACTCACTTTTGTGGCCAGCGGTTTAGACATTAAAGGTTGTGTGTTGAGTTATTTTGAGGGGTCAGCAAATTTACACTGTTACACAAGCTGTACACTCACTACTTTACATTGTAGCAAAGTGTCATTTCTTCAGTGTTGTCACATGAAAAGGTATAATAAAATATTTATAAAAATGTGAGGGGTGTACTCACTTCTGTGAGATACTGTATATATAATTTTAATACATAATATTAAATATTACTTAATTTATTATTAAATTAGATTTTATTGTACATTTTATTTTATGTACAATCAGTATCATTATTTAATTTATTATTAATCAATTGAAGTTGAATAATTTAGTTAATATATTATATTTAATTGTATATATAAATGTATTAATAAATGTAGTAATTTATTATTCATAATTAATAAACAATATTTAATTTGTTATATTATTGGTTTATTTCATTTAATTTATTTGTACGTAGTAAATATTTTAGTATTGATTGATTACTTATTTATATTATTATTTTATATTAGTTTTCCTATAGCAATAAATAATTAATTTTCCTCTATATGCTTTTATGAAAATTTTTCTAAATAAAGCACCCTGGATGCATCATAAACTCAAAATGGTTACTGTACTTTTTTGTGAAATCACACCTGCAACTATAAACATGCATCATATGTGCCACTATTTAATATTGAGTTATAATAGCATGTAACATTCAATGAAAACTCAGAATGTGTGTTTGCATTTCTCTTTATTCTCTCAGCTCTGACTGCGGCCGCAGGACGGGCGAAGATGGAGGTGTGCAGCTTCCTGCTGGAGCGGGGGGCGCAGGTTCAGCAGGTGAACAGGAGAGGAGCGTGTGCCCTGTTCTGCGCAGTCCGACAGGGACACTGGCAGGTGCGACGCTGCAAAACACCCAAACAACTCAAACATCTCCAGAAAAGATGTTTAATGCAGGAACATCTTTCTTTCAGATCGCAGATCTGTTGCTGCAGCATGGGGCGGATGTGAATGTAAGCGACAAACAGGGCCGGACGCTGCTGATGGTGGCCGCATGCGAGGGGCATCTCAGCACGGCCGACTTCCTGTTGTCTAAAGGTGAGGGACGTGCACAAATGCATCAGCACAATCTTTTGCAGTTGTTGCCGTTTATAATGCAACGAAGAATAAAGAGTGAAAAAAGTGTCAGGTTTCCAGCAAACATCCTCTGCTTTTCCCAGGTGCCTCTTTAGCGTCGCTGGATAAGGAAGGGTTAACGCCGCTCAGCTGGGCGTGTTTAAAAGGACACAAGAACGTTGTTCAGTTTTTGGTGGAGAAGGGTGCGGTTATCGACCACTCGGACAAGAATGGACGCACTCCGCTGGACCTGGCTGCTTTCTACGGAGACGCAGACATCGTGAGTGAATAACGAAAGTCAAACAGGGACCTTACTGATGTGTGAAGTCGCAGGACTGATGCACTGGATCGTGAGAGAGACTGGGGGTTTTTTGTCAAATTTTTGCCGTATTATAGTCAGTAGCTTGATGCATTTGGATTGAATTAACAAACTGGATGCAGAATTACTGTATATGAGTTCAAGGCAAGTTATGTGATGGACGGTTTGTTCTGCAAACTTGGCATCTATTTTTATGCATATTATTGTTAAACGTGAAATTTGTCTAATCAATTGAGGAATTGATTTTAGGAAACAACAAATCGGGACATAAATAATGGCATAATTAGTCAAAATGATTTAATCACTACTCAGATGGCTATAGAAAGAGGGTGTTCAGGCTCCTTTCTGTCCTGTTTGTTTCTCGAGCAGCAAACAAACAAGCATATGAGCTCAAATCAAAAGGCTGGAGTTAAAAATGACCAAAACACCACAGCCAGAAAACGGTGAGGTCAGTGAGAATAACACTTTAATTTTGATCTCAAAACACTAAAACCCCTTTAAAAAATCGTGCTCTGGGTTAGTTTAGGACGCACGCATCCCTTTCTGTATTTATGCTTCACTCCATGTTTCTGTGTCACTCTCTTGTGTAAATGACGTAAAGCAGGGGTTAATTCAATCCAAATGCATCAAGCTTCTGAAGATGCCAAAAAAAAACCCATATATATTTTCTTTTTACTTTGTTGAACGTGAAATTTGTCTAATCAATTGAGGAATTGATTGTAGGAAACATAAATCGGGACATAAATAAATGTATAATTAGTCAAAATTATTTATTCACTACCATTCAAAAGTTTAGGGTCAGAAAGTTTTTTTTTTTTTTAATTGTTTGTTAAAGAAGTCTGTTCTGCTCACCAAAGCTGCATTTATTTGCTCAAAATACACTGACAATTGTGAAAAATTAATACAATTTAAAATAGCTGTTTTCTATGTGAATATATTGTAAAATGTAATTTATGTCTGTGATCAAAGCTGTATTTTCAGCATCATTACTCCAGTCTTCAGTGTCACATGATCTTCAGAAATCATTCTAATATGCTGATTTGCTGCTCAAGAAACATTTCTGATTATTATCAATGTTTAAAACAGTTTAATATTTTTGTGGAAGCAGTGATGCATTTATTTTTTCAGGATTTTTTGATTAATAGAAAGTTCAAAAGAACAGCATTTACAGTATTTGAAATAAATCTCTTTTGTAACATTGTGTCTTTACTGTCACTTTTGATCAATTTAATTGCTGAATTTATTATATTTTATCGTTATATTTTTGTTTTATTATTTGTTATTCTATTTGTATTATTATTATTACATTGTTCTGAATTTAATTTTTTTTACATTGTGTCTTTACTGTCACTTTTGATCAATTTAATTGCTGAATTTATTATATTTTTATCGTTATATTTTTGTTTTATTATTTGTTATTCTATTTGTATTATTATTATTACATTGTTCTGAATTTTATTTTTTTTACATAAAAAAAAAGGGACTCCAAACTTTTGAACAGTAGTGTATTTTGTCATAAAACTACTACTTCCTGTCATTGTAATTTCAGCATCCTGGCCACGGATTCTCACGGATGATTTGAGGCGTGTGTGTTGTGTGTTTGCAGGTTCATTATCTGGTTGAGAAGGGGGCTGTGATCGAGCATGTGGACTACAGTGGCATGAGGCCGCTGGATCGAGCCATCGGCTGCAGAAACACCTCAGTGGTGCTGACCTTACTGAAGAAAGGAGCCAAACTCGGTGAGACCTGGATCATATGGATGAAAATGTTGCCTTTCGGCAATATTTTCAATATTTGTGTATTTGCTGTGAAATGAAAAGTATGATGTTTTTTTTTCAATCAGAGAAGATGTTGACTGAATTACTGTAGCTTCAAAATGTTTTAATGCAAGAAGTAAAATACAGTGAAAAGAATGAAGTTTTGAATGAATTCACTGAAACAGAGCATTTGTCATCAATAACATGAGCATGTGATATTCATTAGCCAATCACATCTTTCCTCCTGAAGCTCTTACATCATTGCCCCTGCTCTCTGTGTGTGTGTGTGTGTGTGTGTGTTGCTGGTGCTCAGCCTTTCTCAGAACCAGCTGTTTCCACTGACTTGAGCTGATTAACTGCACAAAAACAATCATACTGCATCATGGTCTTTGTATATGAATCTTACTTTCAGAACTTATAACATCCAAAGTCATTTTATGCCATAACAACACTTTGATGAAACACATGAAAAGGTGATTTGTGATTAAAAAAGTCATAATTTACACATTCAATGGCCTTGCTGATGACACAGAAACTGCACGTCACATATAGAAATTACAATGCATAATCAACTAAAATGAAAGTGGCTGAAGTCGTTTCCAGCATAGCAAAAATAAAAATAAAAAATTGTGTGCAACAGCTTTATTTACACCAGTCTGCTGAAGCTCTTTGACGTAACATTTTATTTCAGCTAGTTGCAACATTTCTCATTTTCAGTTAGTTTCTTCTTGTGTTGAAAAAAATTTATCAAATCTAAAAAAAAGGAAAATTACCATTTAAAATTAAAAACTAAAATATTATCTTGATGCAAAAATAACCCTGCTCTGATGACATACAGGGAAAAAAAAACAATTTTTTTGATTTTTTTTAATTATTTTAATTTTCCCATACACAAACAGTGTGAGCGTGACAACGCTAGGTCATCAATATCAAGCAGGGTTCACTGCAGGAGACTTAAGAGTTGATGAAAAGATGAAAATGCTTTTCTTCAGCTCTGTGTTGGTGTAAAAGTGACGCACATGTGGCATCTGGTGGCTGCTGTGGACGAGTGATGCTGTATTTTCTCTTTGCATGTCTCTTTCTGCTCTGTTTCTCATTCTTCTCTCTTTTAACTGCTTTCACTAAAACCCTCGTCAGGCTACAGAACGTCACCTTATGATCGAACAGGTACACTCTTTAGGTAACTCTTTCACGCCAATTCCATTCTTCTGCTCCGCTGTGTTTTCAGGAGCATATTGATGTAACGCTCCCCCCCTCTCTCTCTCTCTCTCTCTCTC